GGGCTCATTGAGAATGTGATCTCCAAACCACTCTGAGTTGCCAGGTTGGAGCCCCAAGGGTCTCCAAACTGATGCTCTCATTACATGAGGCCTACTCTGAAGGGGTGAACCTCAGCTGGCTCTGCCCAGAGGAGCACTACAGGCCTAAGACACATATTGTCCCATTGTTTGCTGCACGCTCCTTCCTCCACTAAGAAATAGGAGATTCCAAAAGTCTGCCCCAATTTCTTCACTGCCCTGACCCCAAAGATTCTGAAATCCCTTGGGGCCAACCTTGTACTTTATATATTTAAATTAGGGCTGTCGATTAAATCGCAGTTAACTCATGCAAGTAACCAAAAAAAATTAACTGTGATTAAAAAAATGAATCGCCATTATTCGCACTGTTAAACAACAGAATACCAATTGAAATGTATTAAATATTGTTGGATTTTTTCTACATTTTCAAATATATTGATTTCTATTACAACACAGAATACAAAGTGTATAGTGCTCACTTTATATAATAGGCGCCAATTCTGTGGGTGCTCGGGAGCTGGAGCATCCATGGAAAAAAATTAGTGGGTGCTCTGCACCCACTGGCAGCCAAGCTCCCCGCCCTGCCCCACCTCACCTGCTCCTCCGCCTCCTCCCCTGAGCGTGCCGCGTCCCCGCTCCTCCGCCTACCTCCCAGCGCTTGCCGCCGCCAAACAGCTGTAGCAAGCTCCGGGAGGGAGGGGGAGGAGTGGGAACATGGTACGCACAGGGGAGGAGGCAGGGAAGAGGCGGGGCCGGGGTGGGGATTTGGGGAAGGAGTTGGAATAGGGGCAGGGAGCGGGTGGAGTTGGGGTGGGGACTTTGGGGAAGGGATTGGAATGGGGATGGAAGGGGAGGGGCAGGGGTGGAGTTGGGGCGGGGCCAGGGGCAGAGTGGGGTTGAGCACCAGTAGATGTCTATGCTTTATATTACTTTTGATTAAGAATATTTGTACTGTAAAAAATATAAACAAAAGAAATAGTATTTTTCAATTCACCTCATACAAGTACTGTAGTGCAATCTCTTTATCCTGAAAGTGTAACTTACAAATGTACATTTTTGTTACATTACTGCACTCAAAAATAAAACAATGTAAAACTTTAGAGCCTACAAGTCCACTCAGTCCTACTTCTTGTTCAGCCAATCGCTAAGACAAACAAGTTTGTTTACTTTGATGGGAGATAATGCTGCCTGCTTCTTATTTACAATGTCACCTGAAAGTGAGAACAGGCATTTGCATGGCACTTTTGTAGCCGGCGTTGCAAGGTATTTACGTGCCAGATATGCAAAGCATTCGTATGCCCCTTCATGCTTTGGCCACCATTCCAGAGGACATGCTTCCATGCTGATGATGCTTGTTAAAAAAAGTGTGTTAATTAAATTTGTGACGGAACTCCTTGGGGGAGAATTGTGTGTTTCCTGCTCTGTTTTACCTGCATTCTGCCATATATTTAATGTTACAGCAGTGTCGGATGATGACCCAGCACATGTTCATTTTAAGAACACTTTCACAGCAGATTTGACAAAACGCAAAGAAGATTTCTAAGGATACATACAGCACTCGACTTAAGGTTTAAGAATCTGAATCTCCAAAGAATCTGAGGGGGACAAGGTGTGGCGCATGCTTTCAGATATCTTAAAGGAGCAACACTCTGATTCGGAAACTACAGAACCCAAGCCATCAAAAAAGAAAACCAGCCTTCTGCTGGTGACATCTGACTCAGATGATGAAAGTGAACATGTGCCAGTCTGCTCTGCTTTGGATTGTTTTCGAGCAGAACCCGTTATCAGCATGGACGTATGTCTTCTGGAACATTGGTTGAAGCATGAAGGGACACATGAATCTTTAGCGCATCTGGCACATAAATATCTTGTGATGCTGGCTACAACAGTGCCTTGAGAACACCTGTTCTCACTTTCAGGTGACATTGTAAACAAGACTTGAGCAGCATTATCTCCTGCAAATTGTAACCAAACTTGTTTGTCTGAGCGATTGGCTGAAGTAGGACTGAGTGGACTTGTAGGTTCTAAAGTTTTACATTGTTTTATTTTTGAATGCAGTTATTTTTTGTACATAATTCTACATTTGCAAGTTCAACTTTCATTATAAAGAGATTGCACTACAGTACTTGTATTAGGTGAATTGAAATATACTATTTCTTTTGTTTTTAGAGTGCAAATATTTGTAATAAAAAATAAATATAAAGTGAGCACTGTACACTTTGTATTCTGTGTTGTAATTGAAATCAATATATTTGAAAATGTAGAAAATATCAAAAAATAAAATGCAAATAAATTTAAATAAATGGTATTCTATTATTGTTGAACAGTGCCATTAATCGCGATTAATTTTTTTAATCGCTTGATAGCCCTAATTTAAATAGGTGGATTTAACGCTGGGGAAAGCTGCTGCATTAACACAGGAGAGGTACAGCATGGGCAGGGACAGGGCAAGGTTCCTTGCCCAGTCTGACAATCTGCCCCAGCCAGAATCAGCCCCTCCAGAACCAGAGGGGAGCTCTGTCTCCATGGCCCACTTGTACCTCAGCTTATCTGCCAAGGGCTGTGTGTCTGCCAGAGCTGGTGTGTGAGTGGCTGTTGGTGTTTTGTGCGTGGGTTGGTGTCTGCAGATGTTTTGGGATATGTGTGAGTGTCTGTGTCTGGGCATGGCAGGTTTCACTAGCTGCAGGAACTTTTTAGGCCAACTGAAGAGCAATTTTTCTGCATCTGTAGCAGGTTGCACTCGGAGGCCAGCAGGCCTAGTGGGCAGGCCATGTCTCATGAGTCCTTCCACCCCCAGAGACCTGTGCCCCGGAAGCAGTCAGCCCCAGGTCTGGCTTCTAGGCAGGGGAGCCACAGGGCTCCATACGCTGCCCCCGCCCCAAGCACCGGCTCTGCACTCCCAGTGGCTTGCACACCTCCGCCTAGGAGCTGGACCTGCTGCTGGCTGCTTCCAGAGCACAGCACGGTCCGGTCCGTGGTGCCAGGATAGGCGGGAAGCCTGCCTCTGCTCCCCGGCTGTGCCACTGACCGGAAGCTGCTGGAGGTAAGTCCGCGCCCCAGCCCCCCCCAACCCAGAACTCCTTCCTGCACCCAAACCCCCTCATCCCCAGCCCAGAACCCTGACCCCCTCCCATACCCCAATGCCCTCCCACACCCTGAACCTCTCATTCCTGGTCCCACCCTGCAGCCCTCACCCCCCCGCACCCCAACCCTCTGCGTCCCCCTTCGAGCACATCGGCCACTGGGGCTTGCCCAGTCAGGCCCCTTCCTTCCCTAGGCCCCTGCAAAGCCCATCAATCTCCCCAACTCCACCCTCTCAGCCTCCTCCTCTTCCTTCCGTGCTGACACACGCCCCGCCCTACCCCGCACCCCAACCGGCTGTGGGGAGCCCGCGGGGCAGGGCCATCCTTAGGCATAGGCAACATAGGCAGCTGAATAGGGCACCTGAAAATTTGGGGCACCACTGGGTCTTAGTGTCCACCCATACAGCTCCTATCCCTGTTCTGACCCTTCCTGCAAGCTCAGAGTCTTCCTCGGGAGGGGATCTAGTAGTTAACAGTGAAAAAGCCTCCAGCCTGCCAGACCGATTAACACAACATTGAAACTGTTAAAGAGCCATTCAATGGGTAATGAAACCATTTAACAGGCATTTGCCAAACCCCAGGTATATACTGTCAGTTTCTGAATTTACTGACAAAAACAGTTGTGCATTACTGTAATATTTACTCAGAACATATCAGTCTACAGGACCTTAGTTTAAAATTTGCTTTAAAAATGTTTTATTAGTGTGTTGGTGAAGATTATAAAATCACATCTCTAAAAAATCCTTGCATAGATTTTTAGATGCACAGTCATCTTTAGCCTTAAATGCTTGGATCTTCAGACATACAGTTTTTTAAAATAAATCCTTCAAAAGACCACCCTTATCTAAAATACACACTTGAATTACTATAGTAAAAAAACTTGCTTCCAAAGTCTTCCTGTCCTTTCTGTCCATCCCTTTCCGCCCCACCCTCCAGCTGAAGAGGTCCCTTTCCTTCCAGATAGCTGGACAAAGAGTTTCCCTTAATTCTATCTGATGAACTAGTTTTAAGAGAACCCTCCAGCAAAATCAGTACCTTCATAAGATATAAAACCCTTTGTTATGCCTAAAATCTCCGGAAACATTTTTCAAAGTAGGTGAAATTTCATAAACATGTCTACTGTTATGGAGAGCACCCGGGGTAAATTAGTGTTCCCTCTTTCCACAAGCAGTGAACATTGTTATGAACCTTTTTAAACCTCTGTGACTGATTAATTTCAAATAATGTCTTTTGGTTCAGTGAGTTAAATAGGTAGTAATCTGGAATGATTCCCTCATGAAGGCTTAAGCGTACATGTAAAATACAAAATCAGCTCAGAAATAGGGATGAAGAAGATGTAAGAGAGAGGCGAGCGGCGGCCTGGACGCCACAGTGTTTCATGTCGTGTTCAGCCGGGCAGCTGACTCCCCCTTCCTAGGACGGTTTTGCAAATAAATGTCTGACAAACGTCAGGGCAGAGCAAAGACCCCGTGGCCGACATTTTTTATTCCCCCGTTCAGTGCTTTTACTTGGGTCCCTTCCGCGGGAGGGAGCGGGTCGGGGGTCTGAGCGGTGACTCTCCGCCACCGGCAGCGCCGGGCGCCTCGTGCGCCTCTGCAGCCCCGTCCCCCGCCGGGCTGCGGGGCCGGGCCGCCCTCGGGCCTCGCCCCCCCGCCCCCGCTAACACTGCGCGGGGCCCCAGGCCGGCCCGGCGGCCTCTCTGGGTGCGCAGCTCCCCGCCGCCCCTTCGGCTGCAGGCCCCAGGCCCGTCGCCCGGGGCGGGCGCTTTGCCACTCGCTCCGGTGGGAGCAGGATCGGGCCCTCAGACAGCAGCCGGCCGGGCAGCGCCGCGCTCCGGCCCCCGGCTCCGGCGCTGCGCGGAGCCGGGCCCGTGCTGCAGAAATACGCCCCCTCTCCCCCGCCGCCGCCTCGGAGATGGTTTGCTTCGCGCGTCGCGCTCCCCCCCCGTCACCGCGAGAGGCGATGGTACATTCCGCGGGCGCAGCCCTCAGTCCCGACGTCCGTTGGCGGCCGGGGCAGGAGCGGCGGCGAGCCGAGCGCGTGCGGGTGCCGCGCGCCCAGACCCCCCAGCTGCCGCGGGCCCTGCCCGGGGGCATGACTCTGTTCGGCAGCGAGGACGGGTGCTGGAGGTGTAAGTACGGCCCGCGCCCCTGCCCCTGCCCGCGCCTGCGCCTGCGCGGGATGCGGCCCGCTCCCCTCACACGGTGGCCCAGGCGGGACGCCGCCGCGGCCGGGGCCGGGGCCCGTCTCCGTCTCCGTCTCCGTCTCCTCCGCTGCCCCGCCTGGCGCCGGCTCGGCCGCGCGGGCTGAAGGGAGCGGCCCGGGCCGGGTTTGGGGGAGCCGGTGGCTTCTGACGCAGGTGGCCGGGCTGCCCACGGGCCTGCGTGGCGGCGAGCGCGGAGGGGCGGCAGGCAGCCAGGCCGGGCGGGGCGCCCCGCTTCCCCCTCCCGTGCGGGCTCCCCCCAAGTCTCTGGGTGTGGAAGGTGGCGGCTGGGCCGTGAGGAGGTGAGAGGAGCCGCTGGTAGCCCCCTGGGCCTCTGGTGGGCTCTGCTTTCTTCCCTGCAGCAGGAAAGCTTCCATAGGCGCAGTGGGTCGAGCTTCCTGGGAACGTAGAGTCGGCCTGAGCTGAGGAAACCCACTCTCGGCATTGGTCTCGTATTTGGGCTCAAAAGGAGCCTTTGCTGCCATTCATCTGGGGCCCTGCCGTCCTGTCTGGGGCAGCCGCAGTAGGCGCCTTGGCCCCTTCGCCTCCAGGTATGACCTTAGCGGTTGACGTCCCCGGGGCAAAATGCCCCCAAAGGAACCGGAGGAAACACCGTCGGAGATGGAGACACCAAGAAAGGAGGTGCTGGAAGGAACTGGGAAGTTAAGGAGCAACGAGTCCCCAGGACGGGGTGGTATCCCCAAGAGTTCTGGAGGAATAAAGTGGCTGAACTGCTGATAAAATGTGCCATCTCTTATGAATACCAGTTACTGGACTGGAGGACTGACGGGAAGAAAATGTACCTGGAAGTAAAAGGTGGGGCGATTTTGGGAATTGCAAAGCAGTGAGCCTCACTTCTGTAACTGGTTGAAATAATAATTAAAATAGAATGGTAAAGCACCTAAATTAACATGCTCTGATAGGGATAAATCTGCATGGCTTCCGCAAAGGAATAGCATGCCTCTGCAACCTATTCAACAAAAAGGAGAACAGCTGACATGGTTTATTTGGCTACTAAGGAAACTGGAGTCTGAAATAAAGAATTGGCATGGATCAAAAACTGGCTAAGTGACAGAAAAATGATGAACAGGAATATTTTTAACCTGGCAAAAGGTTAACAAGGTTGTGTATTATGACCACAGTTTTTAATATATTTATCAATGGAAAAGGAGGTGAGGTAGCAAAATTTTGCAGGTGACACAGGACCATTTAGGTTAGTTAAGACTAGAGAAGACCATGAGGAACTTCAGAGGAACCCAGTTAAGCTAGGTGAATGGGCAGCATGGTGGGAGGTGATATTCCATGTTGAGAAGTGCAAGGCAATGCACACAGGAAGAAATAATTTGAACTACTCTTATACCTTATTTTGTTCTAAATTAACTGTAACGACTCAAGAAAAAGGTCCTGGATGTCACTCAGTGAAAGTTGGCAACAAAAGTCAAAAAACCAAAATGTTAGGGTGCTTAAAGAACTGAGTTGGTAATAATAAAAATATTATAATGCCAATTTATAAATCAGTGGTCTGGCTTCAACGGCAATACAGTATTCAGTTCTGGCCACTTCATCGCCAGAAGGATATAGCAATAATTGATGGATTTCAAAGATGGGTGACAAAAATAATTGGTGAGGGAAGACGTCTGTGTGTGGCAAGATTGAAGAGATGGGGTCTGTTTAGTTTAGGGAGGGGCTGTGAGGAAGTATACAAAACATAGAAGAATACAAAATAATGAGTGGTCTAGAGAAGGGAGATTGGGAACTCCTGTTCACCTTCTCTCAGATTACTAGAACAAAGGGATGGTCAAATTGGAAGACTGCAAATGTAAAACTGTAAAAAGGAAATTCATTATACAAAGCATAATTTGGCTGTGGAACTCACTGCCACAATATATTGATGAAGCCAAGGGTCCTAAGACAGAATGGACATTTATATTGATAATGAGGACATCTACAGCTTCTTCAGAAAGGATATTAACACCAATATTTTTAGATGGAATGTGGACACTCCTTCAGGGCACAAGCCAAGTATGAAAGGATTTTGGGAAGACCCTTCCTGTTGGGACAGGTTATTCCATTATTGTCCGCTAGGGGGTTTCTTGCACATCCTTCTGAAGCATGTGATGCTGGCCACTGTCAGACGCTGTCGGCAGAATGAGCATTGTAGTGTGTGCGGTTTTGTTGATGAAATCTGACTTTCGTTGACAAAAGTCTAGTGTAGACAGGGCCTTAGTGTTACTAATGTGCCTTCATGGAAGCGTTACTCTGAAATCCCAAATCACTCCCCATTGTCCACCCCAGTGCCAGCAGAAGTCACACCAAAGAGTACTTGGTTTCTCCACTAGTCGACTGTTATGTTGGTGAGATTTTTATTTGTGTGTGTGTGATATGGACACTTCCCCACTGTGAACGAGATGCAGTGAGTAGCATCAGCGGTTTGGTCTCCACCAAGCTGTGCTGCAGTTCAAATAGGCAACGACAGTTTTTGGAAGTCCTATACAACTAGAGCATTATCTGGTTGACAGGGTATATATTGTAAAAGCTGTACTATCCTTTAAAAAAGGAAGCGGGACTGATCCTTGCAATTCCTGCCCTGGAAGTCTAATTTTTAACCTTAGTAAAATAATGGAACAAATATTAAAAGCAAAAAGAAAGCACTAATTCTTTGGAGGATAAAGGCACTATGAGCAATAATGAGAACAGGTTTAAAAAGACAAGTTCTAGCCAAAAAAATCTTGCTCATGCTTTTCGACAAAATTAGATATATTTAGAGGTTAGTAAAGTATTTACCACAGTGACTCATGAAAATCATACCCTTAAAATAGATTCAGATTGGCTTTGATATGGACATTACATGGGCTAAAAATTGATTATTAAACCCTAACCAAAGGGCACTGAAAAGGAGGAGTTGAAATTGCAGGTGGAGAGGTGGGGATCCAAGTGGATAGGGGTTGGAAGAAGGTAAACCTCATGTTAGTTAAATGTGCCAGAGTCTGCCAGTCAATGGGATAGAGTGAGTTGCTATTCAACATAAAGAGTGGTTGAATCTGGCCTTAAATTTGCAGATGACACTAAATTGGGATAGTTGCCTACAGCAGAGAGGATAGAAATAATACTGGTGAATTGAAAGAAACTGGAAATATGGGCAGAAAATAAAATGAGATTCCTCTTGGAATAAAATGCACAGTGGTTTGGGGACAATATCATCCGATTTACAGATTTTCAAGGGAAGACTGAAACCTGGAGGGCCGAGATGCTGAAAGAGACTGACAGATGACAGTAGAGGGCAAATTAGACACGAATGTGAAGTGTGATGTGGCAACAATGTTCTTTTGGACAGAGGCATCACATCACGGACAAGGAATGAATAGTCCCGATCTGCGTGACGCACCTGGAATAGTGTGTTTAGTTCTGGACACCTCGTTCCCAGAAGAGAGAGTGAAACTGGAAGGGATTCAGAGAAGAGCAGCAGAATGATGAGACAGACTGGTCGTAAAAGAGCTGAATATATAGCATGGCTAAGGTGGGGACATGACAACAGCCTGCAAATATGGAGCCTGTAAACACCAAGAAGGAGGAAGAATTATTGGCTGGTACAGAGCGGCGTAGTTAGGAGCAGTGGGTTGGAGTGATAACGGTGTAGTGCAGCTTTCATAGTGCTGGAAGGAACCTGTTGCTTGGGGGACAATTCAAATTAGATGGGACAAAGCCCTGGAAGATAGACTCTAGGGGACAATCCTGCCGTGGCAGGGAAAGGAGCTAGATGACCCAGGAAATGGCCTGAACCAAACACTCCAAACCTTGGATCCAGATCCCTGTTTTCACATCTGGCCCTTCCTCTCTCATGTGCTGAGCCTAGGGCATGAAACTTTGGCTGTGAATCTCGTATTTTGGGCCATCCATGTTTCTTATTATTCTAAATAGACAAGGTAGAGGGGCCATGACTTGCCAAAGGTGACAAAGATCAGAGAATAGAACCTAATTCTCCTGATCCCAATCCAGTGCTCTACCCATTAGACCACACTGCCTGCCAGCATGACCTTGCTGGAGTGAGAGTCTGGGAGCAGCAGCACTGCAAGGCAGTGGCAATGTGAAAGGTCTCCCAAGTACGCAAGCACATGAGTGGGGGTATCTTTGCATGGTTTCCTTCCCCCACCCCGTTCCTTCTTAGCCGTGGCAGGCCCTCTCTGCTGAGTCTGTTGTGGCTGAGGGATCTGTTGTTTGCCTGGGAACACCTATCAGCATTTCATGAATACTAATTCAGCTGGTACTTGGGCTCCGGGAGAAGCGTTCCAGAAGATGGGGCTCCAGGGATTACTGCAAACAAGAGGAGACAGTGTTCATTGCACAGGTGATGATGTGCAGACGTGTAACAGGTGCAAATGGGGGGCCATGGAGAGAGTAGGGACTGTCGGAGCAGCCCAGACCCCTCCGAGGCACTGGCAGCTAGCATACTAGTGGAGTCCTAAAGGTTACTAAAGACTCCCTGTCGAGATAAAGAACTGGCAACTACAGGAAGCACATCTGCTTGGCTGGGGCCCTGCCTGGAATTCCACAGCTCTCTATGTCCTATCTCAGCACATACTGGGTGTTGTGTGGGCCCATCTTAGCTGTTCCTGAATCTTGCTCTGGATCTCTGCAAGGCATTACACATGGACTCTGCAGGGGGACAGAGTAATGGTGGAGCCAGCATGATCTGCAGTTGCATGGTGTACCGTCACTACTCTTTGGATGCAGCAGCAAAGATACTCAGGTGATGAGTGCAGTCGGTACCAAGATAGATTTCCAGTCAGGGTGCTGGGATGTGCAAATGTGGATGGAAAGCAGGAGCTGCGCTGATGGGAATGGTGAGCTCTTAGTCTGGGCTTTTGCTCCTACTGCATGTAACCCCCGTAGGTCTGTATGCGCAAAGCGTGCCCATGGGGAGGCTCTGTCACTCATTTTCTCCATCGTGGGAAGGCAGAGGAGATTTCACTTCCATGCTATTTCCTGCCAGCTCTAAGCCTCTGCACCCCTGATACTGAGCTCTGAGACTCCCCAGCACTGACTGGGGCTGGCACATGGGGTAGGTGGACAGTGATGGTCAATGGCAGCTTTGACTGTGATGGTGGGATCAGTGGGTAATGGTCTTGCTTGAAAGGTTGTTGTATCCTCCCCAAGCTGCATAGGACCCTAGTGCCTCCTTTGGCAGGACCATCACTAGAGAGGCTTTCCTTCTACTGGGCTGGAAGACATTAGTGTCCCACACTGAAAGGCACTAGGTATCAGCCATCTGTGACATCTAGCTGAGTGACATCTTGCCAGACTGGCTTGGCCTTGTATTCTTCTGCAAATCTTGTTTCCAGACAGTCTTCTGGACCCAGTCAGCACAGTTCACACTCAGCTGTAGGCACACCAGGCAGCGACACTGGATGTAGACAGGGTTAGTGCACCGTGTTCTCCACCTGGATTGACCCGTGCAGTTCTTAAGCCAGGTCAAAACATTCTCTGTCCTGATCCAGCCCAACTTCACTGAACCTGGGCTCAAGCTCTGTGAGGTTGGGGCCACATTATTATTGGTACTGCAGCAGCATCTAGAATCTCCAGCCGAGATCTGGTCCCCATTGTGCTGGCCTTTGTACATATACGAACAAAGAGACTGTCCCTGCCCCAAAGAGCTTACAGGCTAAATAGACGGAGGAGGGGAAGCAGCTTGCTGAAGGTCACACAGTAGGTCAGTGGTGGAGGCCTCCTAAGTCTCACACTAATGCCTTATCTACTGATCCATGCTGTTACTAATAAATATGAGGGTTGAATCCATGACCCTGAGATTGAGTTTCATGCTCACCCAGTGAAGCCACCAAGCAAGGATGGCATCAGTCGCAGGAAATCATTTGCTGCCCTGGTAGTGGGCCCAGCAGCACTGCTTCTAGAGGAGCAGCTAGGGATGGGCGCCTCCCCTATGTTCGTTCACTAGGAGCAAAGAGAAGAGCCTGGGCAGGATTCCTGTGCCCACCTGGAATGGACTTTGGATACAGCTCCTGCTGTGAGAAGAACCAGAACTGGATGTCAGTGGGCTACAAGGCCAAGCTCAGCCCCTCACATGGCTGTTTGCCTGCAGCAATAGAGGAACCTGAACTGTGGTGCTGGGACTATGTAACTTCTGCCATTGGAAGCTGGGAATCACCATCTGCTGATAGTGTCTGCAGAGAGGCTGCCTCACACAGGAGTCTCCTAAGGTGCCCCAGTCTGTTGAAAGCCCTTCTAAAGCAGGCCACCAGTCTGGGCCATGTCTGGCAGCAGCCAGGGTACCTCCTGGGGTAAGAAGAAAGGATTGAAATGAAGCTCTCAAACAGAGTAAGTGCAAAGAAAGTGCATTTGTGCCAATGGGAACATATGGCCCTCGAGTACACTGAGATTGAGACGTGAGTAATTGATTCCCCAGGGGCAACATTTCTGATGGTCAGATTGCCTTGTGTTTTGCTGTTCACCCACCAGGCTTTTTATAAATCCTTTGGAGACTCCAGAAACACAGCAGCTGGAAGCCCAGTGTGCTAAAGTTTAGCAACCTGCTAACTTTCTCTCCCCCTAGCTGTGTCAGTGACCATGCTGTACATGCTGGTGCCTCTACCCTGGGAGGTTACAGAGACAACACCAGCAGGGGGCACTGGCTCAGCCAGACTGCAGACCAGTCACAGCTTGCCCTAGCTGCACCCCCTGCTCTGAAGCAGAGGTGAAGGAGCGGGCAGCTCCTTAGAGGGTAAATACTTTACCATCGTAGCAGGGCTTTCGTGTGGGTAACAGCACCCCGGCCTGGAGATGGCTTAATAACAAACAGTCCTCAAAGTCCCAGAATAGAGTCCATCAACACAACACAAAGCTTCTGCTCTGACATCTTCAGCCAGGCTTGGAGCTCTTCTTTTGTCCCAATCTGCTCTGCACCAAGCAGCCACCCCGGCCAGAACTCCGCCTGCTTCAATTCTCCCTCTCTTTGGCCTACAGTGGTCAACAGGCAAAGCCCCTCTGCTGCTCTCCTGACCACTGTTGGTTAGTCTCCTTCAGGACCTCCTGCCCTTACTTCCCCAGCAGCTCCCTGACTCTATTGGGTGAGAGAGATCAATGGGTAACTAGCCTTCCCCTGCTGCTGTTGCCCTCTTTATAAGACCCAGGTTCCTACCCTTAAGCCCAGGGGGAAACTGGGCTGCCTCTTTGGTCAAGAGACCTTCAAAGAAGCCCAGCACCCTGCATGAAGAAGTGCTGGTTTGTCAGTGAGTAGGACTCAGGTGACAGCTTGGTGACAGGTAGGGTAACCATACGTCCCATTTTGGCCGGGACAGTCCCTTTTTTAAGCCCTGTCCCAGCGGTCCTGACTTTTTTGGCAAAAGTGGGCATTTGTCCTGTTTGCTCTCGTCAGCTTGATCAGTTGGCCAGAGCAAACCGAACAAATGCCCACTTTTTAAAAAAGTTGGGGTGCGGAGGAATGTGCCGGGGTAAGCAGCGATGCCAGCCCTGCACGGGGGGAAGGCAGGGCTCAGGTGAAGGCATGCTGGTCTTGGGCAGGGGGAAGGCAGGGCTCGGGCCAGTAGTGATGCCACCCCCAGCCTTGCCCAAACAGCGATGCCAGCCCTGCATGGGGGGCTCACCCGAGTGGCTCAGGCTAGCCCTGTACTTGCGGGGGGTGTGTGTGTGGAAGGCTTGTGCTAGACCCACAGTGTCCCTTTTTCCCTTTGGGAAATATGATCACCCTTGACAGGGGGCGCTGTGACTAGCTTTTTGATGAGACCCAAAAGCAAGGTCCTGACCACTTGTGGTCATCAAATATCTCCTGCCGCTGGGATGTGAGTGATATTACTCTGGCCAAACTCTACTGTGGATAATCTCATTCTGCCTCCTCCAGCCCCCTGTCGTTGCAATTGGCTGTCAGTTTCCTCTTCACATCATGTCTTTACTGCTTGTGTAGTTATACAGCACCTAGCACCACGGGGTCCAGTTCCTGGACTGGGGTTCCTAGTTACTACCATAATATACAGACTACCTCTAATAATAGTGCTGTTGTGCTCTCCTAGGGTCTCTCCCAGGCCATTTGCATCTCTGTCCAGGAACCTGTCCCCTTACAGTACCCCAGGCCTGACCAAGAGGCCCTGTCTGTACATAGTCCATCAGCCATGTTTTGTCACTGGGTTAAAGCCCTGCTCATTCAGAATGTCATCAGGCGTCCTAGGAGGTTGTGGCAGTCGTTGGAGAATCTGGAAAGGAGGTTGCTTAGGTGGTGTAGGTTAATGGTGGTTATGGTGCCTTTGTACCTTCAGCATGTGGAAGTATTGTGTGTGGAGTGTTGCATAATGGTTGCAACCGATGACTAGGAGTTAGGACTCCTGCATTCAACTCATGGCTCTGATGCTAGTTTCCTTTTAGGCTAATGTGTTCAAAAGTGGCCTCTGATTTTGGGTGCTTAATATGAGCCTGGTTTTCTGACAGTTCAGGCACCCCGAGCTCCAGTTGAAGTCATGGGTACTGAGCGTCCCCGGCATCTCTGACAGTTGGCCCACCTGATCTCAAGTCAGGCACCAAAAACTCTTCCCTTCCCTAGTCAGAAGCTGTTTTTCAAAATGTGGCCTCTAATATCTCTGTGCCTTGGATCCCGTCAGTAAAATAGGGATCATGACACTGACTGACCTGCTGCGGGGGGATGAGGGAGTCACTGTGAAGTTCTTGGAAGTGTGACGTGTGAGAGCCGCCCTGGAGGTCATTCATTCGGTCCCTATAATCACTCCTCTGGCTCTTGCTGCTTGTGGTTCACATTCAGAAAGGAGTGGGGTGGGGGGCCTTGAAGGCACCCGAGTCCCATTGAAATCAGTGGAAGTTAGGCGCCTAGGTGATTCCTGAGAGCCAATGGGTGTTGGCTGCCAGCTCCCTGAGGTGTTTTTGGAAACCCCACCCTACGGAAATATGCAGCTGTTTCTTCTCATATTCCCCTTCCTTTCTGTTGACTGTTTCATCCCCTCTCCTAGCCCTGTCTCACTCCCCTGCTGTCTCTTCCCCTAGATTTGGACATGGCCAGAGAACCCAAGCCGAGCCGAGCCAGGCCTGGACAGAAGCGGCAGCATGGCGGCACCCTGTACCAGTGAGTCTGCGTGGCACATTGTGTTCTGGTGGGCGTGGGGGTGTTGTGCTAAATGGTGCTTGCTTTTGGGCCTGGGGATTATCCTCAGTAGTGTTGGGAGAGCGTCGGAGTGTCTCTCGTGGGACAAGACCTCTGCCCCGATGGTCTCTCTTCTCCCGCCAGCACTCCTCCCCATATCCCATCTTCTTCTGCTCTTCACTCAGCCAGACCCTGCTCCCTCCCTTGAGCTCCAGGTTCTCCTTCCATAGCCCAGAAAAGGCCCCCTGGCAGGGCATTCAACTCTGTCTGTCTGCTGGGCTCTGGATGACGTCTCTAGTCGCACCACAGGTGACTCCCAGAATGCATTGCGTCCCACTGGGGGGCTGGAAGGGGTGGGGTGGCAGGTGTACCAGCTGAGATGGGGAGATCTGCTGACCTGCTGAAATGCCATGATGGCAGGAGGCCTGCTGTCACAGTCACTCAGACTCATGTTTTCACACCTCAGATAAAGTGTCCTAATTACCCATGATCCTCTACTACACCCACAGTATCAGCCTTGCTCTCTAGTGGCCGGGGAGCTGAGTGACAGAGACTCTCTGTGAGCTCACAGGGGAGCTGGTGCTTTGGGCACCTTCATGTCCCAGTTGGGGCAGATTCCTTGCGCCGCTCTCCCTGGGGGCGGTCAGGGGGCAGATTCCTTGCGCCGCTTTCCCGGGGGGTGGGGCAGGGGCGGTTTCCTCACGCCCCTCTCCATGGCTGTCAGAAGGCTGTGTCTCAATGGAAATTAGAAGCTCTAAAGGTTAATCTGCTTTAGAAATATTACGCTGAAATTCACCATCCCAGCCTTGCAAATGATTTTCTGGAGACATTGGTCCCTCTGAGGAAACTGCAGGGAATTGAACTGAGGAACACAGGTGTTGCCAGACTTGCTCAGACCCAGAGTCATAAGAATGGCCATACTGGGTCAGATCAAAGGTCCATCTAGCCCAGTATCCTGTCTTCTGACAGTGGCCAATGCCAGGTGCCCCAGAGGGAATGAACAGAACAGGTCATCATCAAGTGATCCATCTCTCATCGCCCATTCCCAGCTTCTGGCAAACAGAGGCTAGGGACACCATCCCTGCCCATCCTGGCTAATAGCCATCAATGGACCTGTCCTCCATGAACTTACCTAGATTTTTTTTTTTTTTTAAACCCTGTAATAGTCTTGGCCTTCACAACATCCTAGGGCAAAAAGTTCCACAGGTTGACTGTGTGTTGTGTGAAAAAAATACTTCCTTTTGTTTGTTTTAAATCTGCTGCCTATTAATGTCATTTGGTGACCCCCTAGTTCTTGTGTTATAAGAAGGAGTAAATAACACTTCCTTATTTACTTTCTCCACACTAGTCTTGATTTTATATTTATATTACCTTGCAGCCTAAAGTTGGCCTCCAGGACCTCTCTCCTGTCCTTCCCTATGTCATTGATATCTACATGTACCACGACCACTGGCTCTTCCCCAGCACTATACATAAGTCTGTCTAGATATCTCGAGAGATCTGCAGCTTTCGCACCTGCCATCTAGTTCAATACCCTGCCTCCCAAGGTGGCCAGCACCATATGGTGGAAATCATAGCAAAGCATCTACCTTTCCCTCCCATGTCGTTAGGCCTTTTGCTGAAGGGGTAACTCCTACTGCAGCACCAAATTGACTGTAACAATTACTCCCTCATGGGAGAGCAGAGGGCCCGACACCAAGAGCCTGGCTCGACTCCCCTGCAAGGAGACAGGCAAGTTGGGCAGCCACTGACCTTGCCGATTAAATTGCAACAAGTCAGCACTCTCCCTAAGGAGCAGAGCTGGGATCCAGGGAATGTAGCGTGTGGAGCGGGAGGGACATTGCCAGCTGGCCAGAGCTCTGTCTTGCTAATTGTTCTGTCAGTTGCCATGGGGATGGTGCCGCAGCCTGCTGGGATGAAGGCAAGGAGGGGGACCTCCCTGGCCACATGAGATCCATTGCTGCTGCTTGCCCCCCATCCGCAGCTTATTGCTCAGCAGGCTGCATCTGGGTCACCCCACTTTGAGGAGCTCACAACATGGCTCACAACATCCTGCTCACAACATTGCTCATATAGTGTAATACAGTGGCAGGTAACGCTCAGCAGTGCCTTGTACAGATGAGGAAACTGAGTCAGAGAGGGGCCAAGGGACTTGGCCAAGAGCACAAGTCAAGTCAGTGGCAGAGCCAAGGGTAGAATCCAGGTACCCAGGCTCATGCCCCATCCAGTGGCTCATACTGGCTCCATATGCTGCATTTCAGTGGGGCAAGTTGTGTGGTTGAGTGTTTGGGACCCAGGTCTAGGTGCAGGCTCTGCTGCTGTGTAACTGTGGCTGAGTAATTGCCTCTGTTTCCTCTCCCACCTATGCAGAGCTCGTCTCTGCAGATGGCAAGCTCTTTGGAGCCAGGCCTCTCTCTCATTGAGTTTGTACAGTACCTAGCGTGATGGGGCCCCAATCTGGCACAGGGCCTCTAGATGCCATTATTATTCAGTACGTGAATCCTATCGCTGGCTACAGTAATGCACAGAGCACCCCAGTTTGTATGGAAGGACACTCCAAACCTTGCAGCTCTCCTGACATAGCCACTAGCCTGTGCATGTTACCTCTCTGCAGCTCTTAGGGAGCCTGCAGAAACATCCGGCCTTTTAGGGGCCTACGCACACTGCCTACACTTCCAGGCCTCTCACTGATTCATTATTATGTATCGAGAGTTGCCAAGGATGCTTGCCACCGTACCTACAAGGAGACACAGGCCTGCCCCTGGGGCTCCCTAGCTAAGTCAGGCAGACAGTATAGTTTGCCCGTTGTGCACGTTGTGAAGCATGTGATTGTCTTACTTCCCTCTGGGGGTTAATGCTGTTGACAGCATGAAGCTGAATGAAGCAAAATACTCTGCGCAGGGGGAATCACTGTTGCATTAACCAGGAATCGAACCCAGGCCTCCCACACGGCAGACTTCTACTGCTGAGCCAACAATGCTGAGAAGCTCCCACTGCTCCCACCTCGCCCAGCCATTCTTTCTCTTGTGTAGTACCAGTCTGTTTGCAGCTTTTCACGTCAGTCCACTACCATGTGGGTGTCCGTTTCAGTAGCAGAGGGAGTGGGGGTGTTGGAGCAGATGGGGGAGAAAGGATGGCCAGAAGAGGTGCTGAGCCAGTGAGACTGGAGTAATACAGCTCTAGCATGCTCCTGGTTTGAGAGTGTCTCTCCCCTGCCCCCTCCATTTCAGGAGTGTGAGTGACTGCAATCAGTCCAGTGCCACTGAAATGACATCCACAAAGTGATGGGGAATTTTAGCATGCAGAGCTATTCCAAATTGCAGTGGTAATCACCACTCCATACATCACTCCCTTATGTGTCAGGCAAGGAATGCACTACCAAATCCCCAGTACTCCCTGCAAAATGCCCCATGTTTCTGGTTGCTGTTTTTATGAGCTAAAGCAGTGGTTCTCAAACTTTTGTCCTGGTGACCCTTTCACATAGCAGGCCTCTAATTTGACCCCCCCTTATAAATTAAAAACACTTTTTAATATATTTAACACCTTTATAAATGCTAGAGGCAAAGCTGGGTTTGGGGTTGACAGCTCACGACCCACTTGAGGGGTTTGAGAAGCCCTGAGCTAAAGGAATAATCACCCACAACCTCACCCTCTGCCCTGAGTCTCACATTTTCTCTTTCTTTCTTCGGGTTCCTTGCCCACTTCTCCCTTTTGACAGGCCTTGTTGTGTCTGTCAGAATTACAGATTTACAAACCCGTTATCCAGCTGAAATCCTCTTTAGATGCTGTCGCAAAATGCAGCCACCTTTTGTTCCTGCACTTTTAAAAAATTAAAATAGGGTGGAAAAAAATCAGCGCAGGCCTTGGCTGGGAGTCAAACCCAGGCCTTCTGCAGGGCAGGTGAGAATTCTATCACTGCCGGAGCGGGCTGACCGCAACCCCAGGGCTTAGCCGTGAGGATTTGTGTGTCCACAATTTTTGTCCAGCTCAGCTGCAGTGATGCTGCCATTCCAGCAGCAGGGCTAGGAGCTGGGTTCTTTGTGCGGGGAGGGAGAAAACGTATCATTCCATTTAAAGTATCCTGTTTTGCTTGTGCTTGTTCATTCTCAAGGACACAGGCTGCTTGGGAAGTGGCTCATGGTACAGTGAGCCCTGTAAGAAATGGCCTGGAGGGGTGCCTGAGGAGAGGCAGTTACTTGCGGGTTCTGCCCTGTTTTACTGCCGTTTGACAAAGCAGCATTGGGATTACAAAGAGCTCCATTTTCTGGGGAGCAGATTAGAGGGGGTGGAGTTCTTAATTTATTTATTTATTTATTTACAAAAATGATTTGGCTGCTGTTGCTTTACTGGGTGGCTGGTCTGGGAGGACTAAGCAGGGGCAACAGGGTGGGTTTTCTGTACACTTCAAGCTTGTGCTATCTCCAGCCAGCTGTGATCTAATCACGCAGCAAATGGAATTGCTGCCAGGCTCTGGCATGGGAAGCTACATTGTTATCTTTGCTGCCAGACTTGTGTTTCAGCATGGTGCTGTAAGGGGCCTGCCCAGCTTTCCTGGCCAGTGTGGTAGAATCATAGAACCACAGGGTTAGAAGGGACCCCAAGGATCATGTAATCTAACCCTCTGTCAAGATGCAGGATTTGTTGTGTCCAAACCATCCTTTTGAAAACCTCCGGTGAAGGAGCTTCCACAACCTCCTTAGGCATCTGTTCCATTGTCCTACTGCTCTTACAGATACAAATTTTTTCCTGAGATTCAATCTAAATCTGCTGTGCTGTAGTTTGAACCCATTGACTCTAGTCCTGCCCTCTGGGGCAAGAGAGTACAATGTTTCTCCATCTTTTTATGGCAGCCTTTCAAGTATTTGAAGACTACTATCATGTCCCCTCTCAATCTCCTCTTTTCCAAACTAAACATATCCTGTTCCTTCAGTCTTTGCTCATAGGACTTGCATTCCTTCTCTTTGAACATCTTTGTCGCTTAC